TCTGCAACTCCCCGCGGTCCTTCATCACCTTCCACGACCCCTAAGATGCTCGATTTATAAGAGATCCTTCCCAAAGCGTGCGATTTTTCCAGCCGGCCGGGGATAAATTCCTTGATCTCGCGCGTTCTCGCTTTTAGATGGAACCACTCTCACGATCGCTCTTTGGTATTGTTCGCGCGTAAGCGACCGCGCCGTAATGCGTTCCGTAAGAAATGAGAAATGTATGTTCTTACATAGTTCTACCGCGAACGAAAGAAGAATGATCGTTTTTTGACCTTTTAAACCCATAAAATAAAAACAACTATTATCGATTTACTAGACCAAAATATAATAATTTTCTATTTGAAGCTTTCTAGTTTCAAAGCTTTCCTTATTTTGAAATAACTTGTACTCAATAATTTAAAATCAATGTTGAATTGACGCTGTAGAAATCAACTCTAAGCCAAATTGTAAAATTAAAGAATGCAGGAGTTGAAGATTATTTTTATCCCAGAGAGTCTTGAGAAATTTCAAATATATGTATATCTCTCTTGAATGTGTCTCAACCACACGTCGTTAATGCGGACTGTCGCCATTCTTCGATTTCGATCTTGTCTCTATAAGAGTTTATGTCTTTAGAATTATGTCGGTTGACGGAAGCAATCCTTCCTTTCTTCCTTTTTCGCTAACAAGCTCGGAAACGGATGTACATGGTGGAAGCATGGCGCGGATGCCCGGCCCGCGGAACGTGCAACTCGAGTTTTCGAGACGGCCGAGGCGAGATTATAATTATGCAAATGCCTTGTTGCGGAGAAGAAGAGAGCAAGCAACAGATGTCTGGAACGGCTCCTCCTGGAAAGAGCATCTCCAGCACGGTACCGTTCGTGCCGCACCGCGCGCCGGCGATAGAATATAAGGTGGGGTCTGAAATAAAGCATGGCCCAGAGACGTCTTGTATTTTCAGCCCTGGCTTTCAACGTCGTACTGTGCCGAAGAGGTTGCTGAATTCTTCCATTCTCTCGCCGCCGACAGGTGCCACAGATTGCGGATCGCAACCGACCGCAGCGGCACACCTGTGTTTCTTTTTATGAAATCCGACGAAAGAGAGACGCTAAGAATTGCTCCTCGTAAAGCTCCCTCCCCTCGTCACTGAACCCCGTTCGGAAGTAACCGATACCTTCCTTCTCTTATTTTGCGCGCGAGATTCGAGGAAATCTACATTGACTATTTGTTGCAACAGGATTTCTCTTCTCGGTGCAATCTGTCGAAATCTATTTTTGGTCGCAATTTTTCACTCCTATTTATTCGATTGTCGCTTGAATTTGTATTAATTTTCGAAAATGTTCTCGGAAAGTTAAGACTACTCTCCTAATGTGAGGATTGATCGTATCTATTACTTATGGAGGAAACATTTATACATTGTGTCATACGTAGGACTGCATTTAATCTCCCTTGTAAGCGCGGAAGTTAGTGGATACACAAGCGCGGGGCCTAATTGGAAGTTACGAGCATTGCCGTGAGTCTGCATGAAGCCATTCGTGGCATTTCTAGTTGTCTCGCTTATAAATCATTCCACCCTTCATGATCCTACATGTAATATAGACGGTTTCCCCCGATCGCATATATTCAGCGTCGCGTCCTTCTCCGCGTCGTCGTTGCCGATCCTCCTCCTCCTCCTCCTCCTCCTGCACTCCCCCCCGTACTGTGGATTCGCGCGAGCGAGCTTTTTCCTCCCACGGCAGCCAGAAGGAAGAGGCTCTTATTGTGCACCACGGACTTCGACGAAGAATTCTTATTACAGAGTGACTCTCCTTGTGCGCCCGAAGAAATCTCATTACCTCGTGCGAGGATAGAATTGCGTTGACGAAAAGTTCGAAAGGAGGTGTTAAGGCTCGCGCGCAAAGAGGAAATCGAACGAGACAAAGTCCATCCGAATGGACCGCTCGTGCAGGGGTGACGGAGAAAAAGGCGAAACTCAATTTTCCATGGATAATAAAAAAAATAACGTTGGACGGGAGACAGAGAGTGGAGAGGAATCAAGGCTCGCCGGAGCAATTCGTCTTTCGCGACTCGTTTGCTTTAATTCGATCCAGGCTTTTGTAAGAGCCGTGCGGAAGTGTTTGTTGCTAATTGCTTAGATTGATTCACTGATAAATCGTACTATAAATCTCCTCTCGCGAGAAAAACTCATTTCATGTGACGTTAATTGCGATCGAATCCTGCGCGAAAAGAAGCACATCACCTTGGTAGTTTGTAATCATTTTCATTGGCGTATCGAGAGACAAGGAATAGCGATGATCATCGTACAACGTATGCGGAAAATTGATATCGTGTAAAATTAACGATGCTTCGTCCCTCACCTCTCGCTGTAGAGAAGATAAGTGATACAGCCGTTGTCTTGATAGTCATTTATCATTATTCTCATGGCCCGCGTCTCGCGTCCTGTCGTAACATTGTTATTTATTGCGCCACATAAGAGAGGATCGTGGAAATATATGAATCTTGTAACATTTTGAGTATTCGAGGCATCGAGGCCGCTATGCATCATATCTTTACGCGTAGCCTCGGACATGCGGACAAGACACGTGCAATCAAGACGGATCCGGATTTAATAAATGTAACCGTTGAAAAAGTTTCTCCCATTCTATGAGATCGATGCGCGAGACACGGGCGAGATTAAAAATGGATAAACAGATTCCGTATAATTACCGTTACGAAACACGTTCGAACATCGCCTCGCGGAATTGAAACGACTCATTAAGCGATCAACGAGCCATTGATTTATGTTTCCCGCCCGGGTTTTCTTCTTGATTATAACGGATAAAGGAAAAGGCTCGTAAATCAAGCTCGCAGCTCACATAAAAATCCGACGAACAAATTTATACCTATGTATCCATTTCGCGGCGGAAAGAAACACAGCCGAGAGAACGGAGCGTTGTGTGAAGAAAGAGATACTCGAATGATATTTCTCAATCATATAAGTATTGACTCTAACGGAGATAAATCTCTCTCCATTCACATTGGCCGTTCGTGGCGTTTCTCTCACGATAAGCGAGGGTCAGATCGAATCGACACGAATGCAGCACTTTCGACTGATTAATCCTCTGCGGCTGCTACACGGAGCGTATGTCTTCAGGTAGACTCGTAGTTGCAGATAATACGTTACGCGGGTATTATCTCCGGAGCGAAGCGCGGAGATGCACCGCTTGCATCGGGCGGAGTGCGAGACGGGCGGAGGAAGAGCGCGACGAGATACAGAAACGCGACGTGTCCGATAGAGAGAGAAAGAGAGAGAGAGAGAGAGAGAGAGAGAGAGAGAGAGAGAGAGAGAAGTGAGAGAGAGAGTCGGCGAGGAGAAACGGCACGAGATGCGGGAGAGGAGAGAGAACTCGGGCCGAAACTTGGATGTAATTACTCCCGTCTACCGTGTAAACTCTTGTCTTGTCATAGCTATCTGCCCTGCCGAGTTCAGCTGCGCTAACGGGCTCGAAATTACTCCTGCTTCCTTCTGCTAATCAGGCGCGAGTTTCCTCGATAAAGTAAGAATTCCGCCAGCGATGGGACCGGCGATGCCCGCGCGATGCCGCACGCGGATAAGCGTAGACAGGAATATGCGGTGATAAATTCCAAGTCCATGGAATATATTCCACGAATTGTCCGTGGCGGCAATAAGCAAAATATTTGATCTAAGTTCGCGCGGAACGGAAAATTGCAGTGATAACAATTCGCGATTTCTCGCGAATGAAATGACTCAATAATCGTATCGCGTGCGCACGCCAAAGTGAAAGTATAGTATTGAATTAATCAATTTATTCAGTCTACGTTTTTCCGCGCCGATAAGATAAACACGATAATAATGTTGTCGTTTGCCGCGTCGCAGCCCACGCGTTTGCCTACAATTTATTTTTTTTTTCTCCCCCCCGCAACCATCGATATCTCCGCGATGAAAGGAAGGCATACGTAAGCCATGCAGATTGAATTGCACGGACCGTAGGTTTCGGCTGATCGACGCTTACAATGTGATATCATCAATCAAGTCGCGCAGGTAGCGCAGGTGTATAAACGCGCGGCATGGTTCCGGATTGATCGATGAGCCACCGTGCACGAAGACAGAGAAAGAGATATGGAGAGAGAGAGGATCGTGTACGCCCGGAGCATCCTCTATATTTTAACGGAAAGCTCGACAGTGCGTTAAAACGACCCGTCAACGCGCCCCGGTAAGAGAGTATTAATTACGAAGCGATGGACATCGATCGCGGTGCGAATAGTCCGCGTCGGGATACGTATGGACCGTTGGACCATGCCGCTGACGGGAGATATTACATCGAGGAAGTAATCCGACCAGATTGGCGGAAGAATCGCGATCTACATCGATAATGGCATCCGCTTTTAATTGGCCGCGACGAGTTGTCTACGATCGATCTACGATGAGTATAATTAATAATCGACTAGATTCCGAACTAGGACACAAAGAGAAAAAAGTGTTCCTTTGATCTGAAAAAACATTTCTGAAGGAATTGCAATCGACGATTGAGTAGAAAGGCCGTGAAATCGTACGAGATAATACATCAACGGTATTCTTAATAACACGTTCCGGCAAATTATATATCTTGCCGGTAATAACTGCTGGTGTGTGTTATCGTTTTTAAAGAGGATTACTTGTGTAAATTACGGGTTTGAGAAAAAATTGAATTTTAAAAGTGCGGAGAAATAATCGATTTGAGAGGAAAAAAATACAGAGTGAGTCGATCAATATTGATATATAATATATCTCGAGAATGGCTTATTCAGGAAGCACTCGTTTGGACCTCAAGGCGTATAGACAAGCCACTTAAAAAACGCTCGTTGCGGTGGGACTGTATATACGCGCGGGACCCGTATATGCGCACCATCCTAATCTCGCGTTTATATTCATTCGGCCGCAAGGGACACACAATGTGAATCCAGCGCGCTGGCAATTATTTCGCGCTCTTACACTACGTGCCAAAACGATTCATTACGTAATACTGAAATTTACTCACCAGCCGATGTTCCGCCGCTGCAACCCGTTGGCCCCGCTGTTGTTTCAAACACACCTACAACAAACAAACATACTAATTAATACGATTTATTCGCACGGCACAATCGAGTTTTACATGCGCGACACATTTTTAACGCGATTCCGAAAAATCTTGATCGCTACAAACGTAAATTCCGCCGGTTGAAAAATTCATTGTAGCGACACGGCGAATCGAAAAATGTCGAACGTGAACGTAAACGTGATTGAATTATTCCCGCTTGCCTCTATCTTGACCGGCGATAAATTCGATTACTCGCGCGATGCAATTCTCGAACAAATAAATAACGCGAAATGCGACGATTATCTATAGTAATTGCGAGTGTACACGCTAATACTCCACGATGATCGCCTGCTGTTCGCGTAAATGAAAAGAGCGTAGCCATAATGGTCCCTGAGTACCACACAGAACGGAACTAACACTATCGGGAATCGATTAACTCGAATTACTCGATGTCTGAGTAACATTACGCGAGAAACTTGCCTGCGCTTGGACTTTATAAAGATTTATTTCGATACCGATGTAGATTGGTATAAAATTAGAATCTTGCATATTAAGCGCTGCGTGCAAACTATATATGTATATTTAATGTCTTTATCCAGTTTACCTCACTGATTTGTTGAAATTGAGTTCTACTTGAAACGGCGAAAACCTGTTTTTACCTGTTTTTAGTTTTAATGAAATATTGACATTTTCTTCGTTTTCTAATTCAACGTTTCTTATTGGTAATGTAGCGTATACAAAATTTATACTAGTTAGAGTTGATATGGTTTATTATGGCATTTGAAATCTGATTTATCAAACTAATTCGAGAATTATACAAATCTGTATTCCCTTGGCGGATCCCACAAATTCGAGTTGAATGGAGACTGCCGTTCCTTGGTGACGAAAGTTTTGTCGCCCGCTGATGTCATTTATTTCCCCGGAGTGCGTATTCCGCTCTTAACGAGATTATTGTCACCGCGGCGCGAACGTGCCGAGCGATGCGTATCGATATACCCAATCACCGGCCCGAAGTACGAATACGTGTACGCGGTTGTCTGGCACTCACTCCTTCCACGCGTTTCGACAGACCTAACGAGACATTCTCGTGCTGTAGGTACGATAATGATGCGCGAAGACGCATAATGACGATACTCTCTGTGTATGGAACTGAAGTACCGTTCGCTGCCTGGTCAACGTCGTTTCGTTATCGATGTATCGAAATATTTCAAGCGATACGAAGATACAAAGAAGCGATAAGATTCGTATAAGTTAAAATATAAATTATGATGCACACATTTTATGGAGAATTTCAAACTTTATATCAAACTTTTTTTTCAGTCAAAAAATTTAAGATATTTAAATTTTTTTATTTGTAATGGCAACAAATTTATATTAATTAAGTGTCATGTCTGATTATTTTTTTACGACGTATAAAGTGACACCGACGCAGTAACACGCGTGACGCTCGAGATTATCAAATGCACCAAGGACTGCACATAGCTCTAATCGTCATCGCGCTTGCTGTCGGTTCCGACTATCGGATATCGTGATAGTGGCACGATAGCAGTAAGAGGAACGCCATGGCACGGAGTAATCGGTCGCCGTTACGCGAGGAAGACCGGCGCCTCGGTTTCCGTGGCCGTCGTTGGCCGGCGCGCAATACGAGCTGGAGATGGCTGCGTCAAGCAGCCGCGACAATAAAGCCAATTGTGGCCCTAACGTGAGAAAGCGAGGCCGTGCGCTCGTATACGAGAGATTTCAATTACGGCTCGTTATGCCGGCAGATGGACGTAATGGTCCCTCCGGCGTTGCTGCTGACACTTCAGGCGATCCGCGGAACGAGGCACGACGCCTACGAGCGAGCGAGCGAGCCTACGGTGCTGCATCGTCTTTAAGAAGGCCGATGTACCGGTCATTGTGCGAAGCCACACGCTGCCGAAACGCGCCGCGCGTGAATTATTACGTCCGCTCAATTTCGCACGGGCATTATTGCATTGTTTCGTTCGTCGCCGCTGCGCCCGTCTGATTCGAAAAAGAAGCTCGGATCTCACAGAGCGAGCAGTTGAATGTCATTAACGATTGAAACGGTTACCGTAAATCTCGGTATCGGGTGCGCCGACTTTTCTCCGTATCCAATTACGCGAATCCCGGGGTGCGCGTCCTCCGGGCAAAGTTAATGGGCGAGAGCGAACGAGTATTGATAGTGGTTTATGATAATTGCCGGCGGACGCCGGTCACGTTTTGCTTCACGTGCAACTCGCGCGCGTTTGCTTTTTCGTCGCGATCAAATTATTTCGAGTCGGCTACCGCGTTTTTCGCGGCGCACACCGACAGGCGTAATCGATGACGACGCCGCTCGACGGAAATTAATATGTTACCTGCAGCGGAAAGCGTGACAATATAATCGACTTATTTACCCGGACTGTAAAACCAGTAAGATGGAGCGTATTTATGCACGCCGCATCAAGATTTAACGAGGGTCCGCCGGCTATCATGCGCCGAACACGATAATTTATAGACGCGCGACCGCTAATTCAGGCGGTAAGAGAATAAATCGCGGGGCGCGAGTCGTGGGAAAAATCGCTCCAAGAATTTACCCCGAAACACGCCGGAAGCACTTTATTTCGGTTCGGGATAAAGTTCGCGCGCGCAAGAATTGATATTTAGTACAGTTTCCAACAATTCCGAGTACGTTCGACAAGATTAAGGGAAGCAACGAGAAAGGGTCCGACTGACTTCAGCACGTTCGTCGGCTACCGTGCCAAGCGTTACAAATATCGTGCCCACGTGCTTCTCGTGGTCCGACCTGATACAATGCGTCACGATTTTGGACGACGGACGCGGATCACGCCTTGATCGTTATTAATGGCTCGCGTTATTGCGCACTGCGACCGTAGCCCTTTGTAGTGTCGACTACATACACGTAATCGATTTCTCGTCGAGACACCGTCCGGGTTTCGGTTTCGGTCGTCATATCTCATCCTGTTTATGCGATTACTGTCGTGCCGCGAGCACCCGATGCATTCATGCGGACGACTCGTTAACTCGCCTCGAGGTAGAGAATATCCGGTCTTTTTCCACGTCTCGAAGGACTTCAATAGAGGTGTTTTAAAGTACAGAAGCTAACAGAATTTGTTTTGCAAAAGTTAGAAAAATGTTTTAAAAAATTTTGAACGTTGTATAATTGAGCGGACAATGGAAAAAGATGATTGAGATTAAATAAAATTTCAAAGAAGCACCGAGCTATAAAACTTTCGCAGAAAGCCGTCGTAAAAATCGTTTAAGATTGAAAAGGATGCTTTAGAGCGCGGATATAGATTTCCTTTCTTCGCTGATATCCGGGTGCAGGATAACGGAAGAAAGGTTATCGAAAAGCAAAATATCACGCGGTAATTCAGAGTATTGGCGAAGCACTCCTCAAGAGAATCCATAAAATCGCATGTAGCGATTCTCTCCGGCGTCTCCCTGCCTACTCTAAATAATTCGACGCTTGAACGCAGACAGTGGGTGGAGTCCTGATTTTTTTGAACGGGGAAGGAGCGGCTTTGCAGTCTCGCTAGGACGCGACGGAAGCATTTGTCATCGGAGCATAGCACGAAATATAAATCGCAAACAGAACCGGAGCTACAGGTTGAAGCACCAGGAGAACGAAAATAAACTCGACTCTTCCTCGACGCGTTATCACTATAACTCCGACTGGCAAAGGCGCGTCCCGTACACTCAGACCCCTCCCTATACGTACCCACCTCCCCGTTTTTTTTTTTTTCGTCTTTTTACTCGTCGCGGTACTTGCTTTATTGTGCCTCTAGTGGAGCACGTACGTAAAAATGCGCGCGAACGTTGAACTCCGCCCTCCGTTTCTCGTCACGTGTCTCACTCCGTCGGTTTTTTATAGGAGTTAGGAAATTTTATATACATACATTACATGCAAATCGATTTTTTCCCCCTTATCCAAGAATGCCGGGAAATATTTATTAGAAATACGTCACGAGTGACAATGCGTTCACATAGCGAGAGTCGAATGAGAAATACGTGTCAGTTGAATATTCTTTCCATTACAATATCGGTCTTTTTTTATGTAAAAAAATGTCTTTGTGTATTGACGTAATTTTCTTTTCAGGACAATAATATAAATATTATTCGATTGTAATGGAGATAAATATATTTTAAAATTGCATTGCATAAAAATACCGAATAGTTTATTTTGAAACGGGCATTTAATAGCGTATGAATATTTTGTTTCAGGGGGTCTTCGCTCGGAGGCAGCCGATTGCTCGATTTCGGAGCATACCAATCGACAAATCGAATTCTACCTGTTTGTTCGACGACGAGAGCCGTTCCCACTTCTACACGCAGCCAAGTTTCTCCCGATACACGCGCTCGCGTTACACGTAAGGGTAAACGTATTTCCCATCTTTCCACCCTAGCACGGGAAAATGGTCTGGACCGACTCAATTTATAAAATAGAAGAACCAAAATGCAAGAACGTTTGCCAAGAGGAACATATTTGATCAAGTGAGCGCAAATATTTATACGGCAAGTTAACTAAATGTATATCGCACTCTGTGTTCAGAATGTCTGGACTTTTTATTACATCTCCATGCGCATGTGCGATAATTATATGTATCCGGTAACATCAAAAATTATTTGACGAAACAAATATGTGAAAGCTCCTTCAAAATGATTTTGGAGTCATATACTATTTACAGAGAGATGTGCAATTTACAAATTATCATTAGCGACATAATTGCGCGCCGTGCACGTATGGATGTTCACATACGCGTTCGGGCGAATACGCGTAAGCACAAAAGCGTTTGATGTAACCACAAATGGATTGGATGATCGCGCAATAAAATCTGATTGCTGTAATACACGTGGAAGTCCGGCTGGCTCGAGTTCCACGATATAGATTCGTAGAAACGATCGATAAGCTCTTATCACCGGCGATGATGAAAGCAAGCTGATCGATTTTTATGAGAACCGATATCTCTATCTCGCGGCTTGCGGGCGGACAACATGTCTACTGACCTCAA